GCGCGCATTAGCTGTCTGACGTGCAATCCTACGCTGAGCCTTAGCCTTACTAGATTTGGACCCTGGGATTGGCTGCTTGGAAGGCCGACCTACTCAAGGCAACTGTTTGGGCAACGAGAGCACACGCTTGAGCATCTGGCTACTTGAAGCCGCAATCTTTGCACTGAGGCCTATATGGGGCTGCCGAGGGACGTCAACAACTGCTGAGACGGATCGCAATTGCGGACGAGCGGCCGCATTAAAGAAAACATAAGCAAGGTGGGACGATTTTGCTTGCCGCCTGGTGTGCAGGTAAACTCGGCATCGGACGGCCGGACAGAGCCGCCGACTCGCGTCAGAAACTCCGACCTCTTGAGGTCGGCGGGGGACATGTCCCAGTCGGCCATCACCCGCCAGTGCAGATGGATGGCCGTCAGCACGCCCCCCAACTTGGCGAAGCGGTTCACGTCCTCGTTAGTGAGCCCCATGCCGGAGGAACCGTAGTAGATGAACGCAGCGAGCGTGAGGTCTTTCATGTCCAGAAGGCAGGGAAGGAACCCATCTAGAACTCCTCCTCGCTCTGCCTGAAGTTTGTTGCAGGTGAAAGCGGCGCCGAGCATGCGAGCTGGCCTGTGATTGCGTACAAGTAGCCATTCACCACCTTCATTCGAGTGCTGCTGGCACCTTTGGCGTAGCGAGACTTGGGCCTGGCTCCATTGTGAAGCAGACGCAGAGAAGAACCTTTCGTTCTGCCAATCCATTTCCGTGTGTCCTTTTTTTGCCACGTGCGTCTCGCATGCGCCCGAGTAGTCGCGCGCGCCGCTAAGCTCGGTCAAGCGCCCCCAGGCCTTGTCCCCCATGCGCGTGACGTTGCTGAAGGATATGTTGACAGTGGGCTCGGGCTGCTGCTGCGCAGCCTCGCCGCCATCCCCCAGCGATGTTGAAAAGCTGGTCGCCGTTCTGCCTGTGCCCTCAGTGACAGTGGTGGCGTTCAGCTTGCTTGAAATGGCCGAAGTTGTGTCGGTTGTGGGTGCCATGCTAGCGGCGTCTGGGCTCGCAGCGGCGCCGCTGCTGCCGAGTTCCGCCTCCGATGGTCACTCATCCTTGGCGACGTCGCCAGCGCCAGCCGCAGCCGCCGCGGCGTCCTTGCCGCCGCCCTTGGACCTGAGGTCGGCTGCCGCCTGCGCCGCCGCCGCCGCGAACTTGGCCTCGGAGCCGCGTGGCCTCCTGCTTGAGCTCCTCGTCCGTTGCCGAGGGCGCCGCGGCGCTGGCGGCGCTGGCTCCCGCAGCCGCGGCCCCCGTCGGAGGCTTGCCAGCCGTGGCCTCCTGAGGCTGGCTCGCTGCGGCCTGGCCCTCATCGGTCTTCCTCTTCTTGCCCGTGCGCTCCTCGACGTCCGCCTTGACGGTGTCGAGCTTCTGCGTGAACTTCTGCAGCTCGGAGTCCTTCGGGATAAACGACTCTTGCACGGTCTGCAGTTCTTTCAGGTTGCGCAAGGTGACCTTGTCGGCCCCCTCGCACTCCCACTCCTCGAGCTTCTCGAAAATCTCTGGCTCCATGTTCACGCTGAAGTGTACGCCCTTGCCCTAAATCTCAGCTGCCGTCTTGCTGATGCCCTCTGCCTGAGCAAGAGCGAGTGTGGCGCTCTTCTTCGCCGCCTCGGCTCTTGCGAGAGCCAGGGCCGCGTCCTGCTCCTTAGCCTCGGCAGCCTGGAGCTGGCGCCGCAGCCAGAGCACCTGACTCACCAGCTGCTCGTGCCGATGGCTGGCCTGCTTCCAAGCGCCATCGGCGCACTTCACCGAGTCCACCTCCGAAGCGTTCCGTGCGGCCGACTGGCCCTGCGGCTTCGAACGTTGAGCTACCAGAACAGCTCGGAGCTCAGGGTCATCACAGACCTCGGCCGCCTTCGCCGGCAAGCTGTCGAGGTTCTTGGTAGCCTGATCGTTCTGGCCCCGACGGCGGCTTGGGCTGCGTTTGCGAGCGCCTTGGCCACGGGTATCTTGGTCGTTCGTGCCGTCGCTGATGTGCTCAACTGCTTCGTCGAAAGACACCCGTCGCTCCTGGGACGGACCTCGCTGACGAGACGGGTCGAACAACTTCACTTGCTTCCCACACGACAGACTCGTCTGATTGTTGGCCACCAACTCGCTATTTCATTTGCACGTCTTGCAAGTAATGCATCTGCTCCAAGGAAAGTTGAATGCTCGTCCCATCTCGTGAGAAAGAAAGGGGGTAAGTGTCTCCTGTCTTCGTTGGCGCCGACTGCTGTGGGCCCAGCAGCCAGCGAAATCCCCCAATCACGGCGCGGAAGTGCAGGGGAGGCAAAAACACGTGCCCTGCGCACGGGGGCGAGGGACTTGGTGCTCGAGCCAAAATTGCTTGATGATGATGATGATGATGATGATGATGATGATGATGATGATGATGATGATGATGATGATGATGATGATGATGATGATGATGATGATGATGATGATGATGATGATGATGATGATGATGATGATGATGATGATGATGATGATGATGATGATGATGATGATGATGATGATGATGATGATGATGATGATGATGATGATGATGATGATGATGATGATGATGATGATGATGATGATGATGATGATGATGATGATGATGATGATGATGATGATGATGATGATGATGATGATGATGATGATGATGATGATGATGATGATGATGATGATGATGATGATGATGATGATGATGATGATGATGATGGTGATGGTGATGGTGATGATGATGATGATGATGATGATGCTGATGCTGATGCTGATGATGCTGCTGATGATGATGATGATGATGGTGCTGATGCTGATGATGCTGCTGATGATGATGATGATGATGATGATGATGCTGATGATGATGATGAGGAGGATGATGAGGAGGAGGAGGAGGCGGAGGAGCATGAGAAGGGGAAGGGGAGCAGGAGGAGGATGAGGAGGAGGAGGAGGAGGAGGAAAAAAAACGAAGAAGACGAAACACAATAAGAATAATAAGAAGAATAATACTAATACGAAGAATAATAATACGAATAATCATAATAATAATCATACTAATAATAGTAATAATACTAATCGTACTAACAATATTACTGATACTACTACTAAAAATAATAGTAGTAATAATAACAATACCAATAATAATATAAATAATAATAGTAGTAATAATAATACCAAGAAGAATAAGAAGACGAACGCTAATAATAAGAATATTAATAATACGAATATGAATAATAATAATAAGAATACTAAGAGGAAGACTAATACGAATACTAAGAATACTAATAATACTAATAATACTTAGAAGAAGACGACGAATAATAATAAGAAGAGGAGGAGGAGGAGGAGGAGGAGGAGGAGGAGGAGGAGGAGGAGGAGGAGGAGGAGGAGGAGGGAGGAGGGGGTGGAGGAGGAGGAGGAGGCGGAGGAGGAGGAGGAGGAGGAGGAGGAGGAGGAGGAGGAGGAGGAGGAGGAGGAGGAGGAGGATAGGGAGGAGGAGGGAGGAGGAGGAGGAGGAGGAGGAGGAGGAGGAGGAGGAATAGGAGGAGGATGATGAGGAGGAGGAGGAGGAGGAGGAGGAGGAGGAGGAGGAGGAGGATGCATCTTGGGAGCCTTTGGGGGCACTCCTGGGGCCTCTCGGAAGCTTCCTGGGAGCCTCTCGGGGGCATCTTGGGGGCCTCCGTAAGCCTCTTGGGGGCCTTTGGGAGCTTCTCCAGGGCCTCTTTGGCCGTCTCAGGATATTCTTGGCCCGCCTGACGCCTTCGGAAGCCGCCTTGGGAGCCTCTGTGGGCCGACTTGAAACCCTCTTGTGGTGCTCCAGGGTCGTCTTGGAGGCCATCTTGGGCGTCTTGTGGACCTCTTGGGCCGTCTGGGGGCTCTTGGGCCGTTCTGGGGCCATCCTGGAGGCCTCTTGGGCGATCTTTCTGGGCTCTTGGGCCGTCTCGGACCGTCGGAAGGCCGAACAAAAGCAAATGCCAAACTCCTTCAAACATCTAAGGAACATCAATGACTTTGGCCTCTTGGGGGCTTCCTGGAGGCCCTCTGGTAGGAATTTTGGGCCGTCTTGGAGGCCTCTTCGGGGCCTCTTGGGCCGTCTTGGGCCATCTTAGAGCCATCTTGGGCCGTCTTGGTGGGATCCTGGCCCGTCTGACGCCGTCGGAAGTTGTCTTTGGGGCCTCTCTGGGCCGACTGGGGGCCCTCTTGGGGTGCTCCGGGGTCGCCTTGGAGGCCATCTTGGGCGTCTTGGAGGCCTCTTCCTCCAGGGCCGTCTTGGAGGCCATCTTGGGCGTTTTGGAGGCCTCTTAGGCCGTCTTGGGGCCATCTTGGGGCAGTTTTGGGGCCTCTAGGGGGGCTCTTCTCCTCCTACTCCTCCTCCTCCTCCTCCTCCTCCTCCTCCTCCTCCTCCTCCTCCTCCCCCGTGCACCGCGGCTTAAATCGCAACTGTGCATCCTACATTTGCTTCATCGCCAGCGCAGTGATTCTGCCTAGCCGCCGACACAAAATGTGTGTGGGTTTGTCTGCTTGTGACTGTCCACCCTCCCGTGCCCCACTCGTGCCCCCCCCCCCCTCTCTCGGCTGCATCCACACGGGACTTCGTGCTGCGAGGCTCCCCGTGGGTGAGGCCGTCTGGGTCGCACGAGGTAGTGGCGCCGCGGCCGCCGCACCACCCTCGCGCCGCTCCCGCAAGGCCAGGTTTCGCCGCGCTGCTGCGCGCGTGGCCGCGACGCCAAAAAGGGTGTGTCCGTGTCTGCGTGCTCTTGCGCGTGCGCGGGTGTTTGGCGGCTCGCGCGCACGTGTGCGTGTTCGTGCATGCGTGTTCGGGTGCACGTGCGCGGACGTGTACGGGTGCGCACACGTGTGCACGTGCGTGTAGGTGCGCGCGCGCGCGCTCGCGCGTGCCTGCGCGTGCGTGCAGGCGCTGCGTATGTATTCGCGCGTGACTGCGGTCGTGCGCTTCCGTGCGTGGTCGTCTACGTGCGCGCGCGCGTGCGTAAGCGCTGCCGGAGGCGGGATGCCCCGGCCTCTGGGCGGTGGTCGACTGGAGCGGTGGCTCGGGTCGGAGTCAGCCCAGCCAGCTGCTGGGGAGCGCGGTCTTCGCTGGCCTCCTCGAGGTTCAGGGCGGACGAAAGGAGGGAGGGGGATTGGGCTCAGGGGGAAGGAGGAGGAGGAGGGGGAGGGGGAGGAGGAGGAGAAGGAGGAGGAGGAGGAGGAGGAGGAGGAGGAGGAGGAGGAGGAGGGAGGAGGAGGAGGAGGAGGAGGAGGAGGAGGAGGAGGAGGAGGAGGAGGAGGAGGAGGAGGAGGAGGAGGAGGAGGAGGAGGAGGAAGGAGGAGGAGGAGGAGGAGGAGGAGGAGGAGGGAGGAGGAGGAGGAGGAGGAGGAGGAGGAGGAGGAGGAGGAGGAGGAGGAGGAGGAGGAGGAGGAGGAGGAGGAGGGGGAGAAGGCGGGACTGGCTCAGGGGGGGGTAAACGTCGACCACTCATCGCCCATTCATCGCCGATCGGGGCTCGGGTGCCCAGCCCTGCCTAGGAACGCTCGGTCTCGCCATCGGGGGCCTGCCAACACGAGCTGTTGGCGACGTGGTGCCGGCTGCAGGCCGGTGCTTCCCGAGACCTCTGGCGTCCTCTTTCCTGGACTGGCCTTGCGTCCCGAGTCGGTCGGGGGCGGCCAAGAGGGGGTTGAGGACTGAGGGGGGTGGCTATCATGGCGGATCCCAGGACTGAGGACTGAGGACTGAGGACTGAGGACATCTCCCCAGATTTCATGGCGCCTCTTCTTGTTTCAATGCGTCCCTGGCCCCCCCCCCCTGGGCCGCGCACGTGCCGCCGGCCATGATCCGCGCCCCCCCCTCTTGGACGCCCCTCTCTTGGCCGCCCCCGATGGTTGCAGTCCCAGGGCCTGGAAGGGGCACCCGTGAGTGAGCCGACAACATCGTCCGTCGTGTTTTCTTCACGACGTGAGGGGGCCGGCTCGCCGCAGAGGTGGAGGGCCTCCCAGAGCTCGACGAGCTGCGCGCGCAGCGGGGCCTCCTGGGGAGGCCCGTGTTCCGCGCGGGGGACGAGGGCGTGGGCCCCTTCTGGGGCTACTTCGAGGCGCACGTGGAGAGGGGCAGGTGTCGTGGAGCAAGCACATTGCCAACATACAGTGGAGACACATGCCAAGAAACGCCCTGCTTGCCCCCAGGGTGCCCTGGGTTTCTTGGGTTTCGATGGTTTTGCGATGGGAAGCGCGACGTTCCCACACCAAAAAGCAATGGGCGTCCTGGGGTCTCAGGGTTGGGTTTCTTGTGGAAGGTTTCTTGTGGACTGGCCTCCACTGTATGCCGTCGGAGGTCCGCGCGGATGTGCTGGATCAGCGCTGAGCCTCCCTTTCCCAGGCGGCGCCTTTGGCGCAGCTCCGCCTACGTATCGCCGTTCCATGACATCCGCGCAGACCTCCAAAAGGTCATGTTGATCTCGTTTGCTGTTTCTGTGAGGCGGCTACTGGACGGGGAGGTGGCTCTCGCCTCTGCTCCCAGCATCGCTGGGGTCTTCCAGTACGAGCTGATCTTCTCTGGGAGGCACGATCGCGTGGGCTCCACGCCGATGGCGCTCAGGAAAGACGCCGGGATCGGGGCGATGAGGTTTGCTATGGCGCTCGACATCAGACTTCTGAACCTGTGCCGCGAGCAAGCCACGGCGGTGTGGACGTTTGGGCATGTCCGGCTGGACCCAAACGAGGCCGGCACCGTCCCAGGCGGTGCGAGCCTCACAGTGGAGATCCGCGACGTCGACAGTGAATTCATGGAGCTGATGGACGACGCAGTCAGGGATGTTGTCGTGAAGGTGAACGGCGAGAGGGGCGTGTTCGTCAGGCTGGGCTCGCGCACGGTGCTGCCCGTAGCTGAGCTGAGCGGCGGGCTCAGGGAGACCTTGGAGGGCACCCTGGAGGGCCGAGTGCCCAGCAACTGGACGGGTCTCCCTGCGGGCGTGGTCCACGACGCCTCCATGCTGTCTACGGCCATGCCCACGGCCCTGCTGCTCCTTCGTGACCACCGTGTTGAAGACACGGAGGCTCCGGAGGGTGCGCCGTTGGCGGTGGACGAGGACCGGGGGCGCAATACCCGCGCTGCTCCTTTCCAGTCTGTGGGGCGTGGGAGGGCTGGGCCGCTTCCGTGCTTTCCCTTGTGTTCCTCTCCGTCCATCTCCTGCTCCTCTCTCCTCCATCCTCCCAGCTCCACCTCCTGCTCCTCTTCATCCCCCTCGCCCCCTTCAGATGATCGGGTCTTCGTTGACATTGCAGTCGTAAGACCTGATCCTGGGGTCTTGCCTTAGACTTGTTCCAGTTGGAGTAGTGGCCGAGGCCTGGTCCCTCCGTCAGCGATGTGGGGAACGGCTTAAGGATTTCCAACCGCATCATGGAGAAGCGCACGGGGAGCAGCGGATGGCGTGTGAAGGAATCGTTGCAAATTCCTCACGCGAGCAAGGAGGGCGTGCACGACGGTGCACGACGGATACGAGCGTCAGGTGGCGACAGCGGACGAGATTCACAGGCATGGCACACACGTGCGGCGCGACGATGTGCTGATTCCGTCCATCCCCCGCGATAAGAGTGGGTTGGACGCCTGTGGTCGCAAGGAGGAGAAGACGCGCATGGAAAGCGGCAGTGGGCACAGCAAGGATAGACAATACCGAAGTCCAAACGCCTAGAGAAGTCTCCACGCCAGGCTGGGCACTGAAAGCGTGGGTGGACTTCGCCCCGCTGGACATGGAGGATGGGCATGGCCCCGTCGCCACCCCGAGTCGCACGGAACAGTAATACTGCATGGGCGATTACAACAAACCTATCGGACTCGGCCAACCAGAGTTCATGGAGCTTCAGGGCCAGGAGCGCTTTAGCCCTGAGGATTAGCAGTCATCGTGGCAGCCGCGTTTGCGGCTGCGTCAACCATGGCTGGAGTGTCATCGAGTGCGAGGGTCCCGAGCACCACCAAAGCTAAGGAGCGGAAACATTGTAATGGCCTCCGGTCCGTGCCGCCGTTCTGGGACGCTTGCATCGTTGCAGCCGTCTGATGCCACTGCCTCCACTGCTGGTGCCAGAGGTCACGGTTTCCCCACGCAGTGCTTGCACCCGGTGCTCTGGGTCACTGTTTGGGGTCGAGTTGCCGGCAGGCGTGGCACGCGAGTGAATGCACGAGGTAAGCAGTAGGCCACGATTTCCCCACGCAGTGCTTGCACCCTGGTGCTCTTAGGTCACCTATTTGGGGTCGACTCGTCAGAAGCTGTGGCACACGTGCATGCACGATGCAGAGTGCGAAAGGTCAGGTCAGAATATTCGCAGGCGTGTTGGCTCAGGTTTTCCATCCTGCGTGTTTTTCTCAGCGGCGCATGCATGACCATGCAGCGTTGAACAATCCGGAGGCCGCGGCTGCCATTAGACGCTGATGTGGGCATGGTGCTTGAAAAGTCCACATGGGCATAGCAATAAAAAAGCGTTGTGATTCGACTCTCCCTCCTTGTCTCACTCCGTCTCTCCTTCCCTCCCTCCTTCCCTCCCTCCCTTCCTCCCCATTTCCCTAATGATGACGATGGGAAAGCAGAAGGAGGATGAGGAGGGAGGATGGAGAGGAGGAGGAGGATGAGGCGGAGGAGGAGGCGGAGGAGGAGGAGAAGGAGGAAGAGGAGGAGGAGGATGAAGAGAAAGCGGAAGAGGGAGCGAACGAGTCAGATGAGACGGAGGAAATATATTCAGATTAATAGTAATGTTAGTATTGATAATAAGATGAAGACTAGTCATATCACATCTATTCGTAATAATACTGCTACTACTACCAATACTATTACTACTACTACCACTACTACTACTACTACCACCACCACCACTACTACTACTACTACTACTACTACTACTACTACTACTACTACTACTACTACTACTACTACTACTACTACTACTACTACTACTACTACTACTACTACTACTACTACTACTACTACTACTACTACTACTACTACTACTACTACTACTACTACTACTACTCCTGCTACTACTACTACTACACTACTACTACTACTACTACTACTACTACTACTACTACTACTACTCCTACTGCTGCTGCTGCTGCTGCTGCTACTACTACTACTACTACTACTACTACTACTGCTGCTGCTGCTGCTGCTGCTGCTGCTGCCACTACTACTACTACTACTACTAGTACTACTACCAATACTACTACAACAACAACAACTACTACTACTACTACGAATACTATTGTTCCTACTGATAATCTTGCGAGTGCTAGTACAACTAATAATATAATGGTTAAATATCCTAGGACTCGTGCTAGTAGTATTAGTAACACTTCTACTACTGATGCTCATACTGGTGCTACGAATGATATTAGTCAGAGTTACATTATTCATACTCATTATGATCACGCGGCCGATGATGACGATGATGGCGATGCTGACGATGATGATGCTGATGCTGCTGCTGATGATGCTGATGCTGATGAGTGTGATGATGCTGAGGATGCTGGTAACAAAATGATAATCGTATTCATACGAATAACATTCATAATGGCACTGGTAACGCTACTAATAGTACTACTACGCATACGAGTATCATTAGCAATACTCGTAATAGTAATACGAGTAATACTAATGGTGATCTTCGTACTTGTATGCATGATATCCATATTGCTATACTAATAATAGGGAGGAAGAGGAGAAGGAGGAGGCGGCGGAGGGGGAGGAGTAGAGGATGGAGAGGATCGTGGTGACCGTGGGAGTGAATATCTTGATGGTGGTGGTGGTGATAAGGAGAAGGAGGCTGCTGAGGATGAGGATGGTGGTGATGATGCTGATTAGGAGGAGGAGGAGGAGGAGGAAGAGGAGGAGGAGGAGGAGGAGGAGGAGGAGGAGGAGAAGGAAAAGGAGGATGAGAAAGAGAAGGAGGAGGAGGAGGATAATCAGTTTAAGTGTTGTGAGCCTTAGCCACCGATGTCCAAACTTATTTCAAACCTTAGCGTTCATGCCCGTATTCTCATGGTGGTGACGACGGGAAGGCGCCCGCGGAACGAACAATCACAGCAGGTGCCAGCAGCACTGCGGTGCAGGAGGATGCAGAAGCCGAGTGCGGCCTGGCTGCGAGTCGGAGGCCGAGCGTAGGGAAGCAGAAGGCTGGACTGGCCAAGCCCATACATGAGTTGAGATGGCATCTGCGTGCCTCCCTCGTAGGGCGCCCGGAAGTGTTGCATTTCATTGCAAAACATGCTGGGTCACGGTGGGCAAGCGAGGCCGAGAAGGCATTATCGCGTCACGCAAGTAATGCGTCGAGTGCGAAGGGCCCTGGCACCACCGAGGTTAGGGCGCGGATGTTTTTGCAGCGACGAGGAGCCGCGTGGCTTCGCCGCCCTTGGCCAGCCAGAGGTCGTCGGCTTGCGCGCGGCACGCGGTGACATCGCGGAGAACCAGTCCAACCTTGCCAATAGTGACAGCAGCTCCCGTAGTTGCGTCGGCAAGCTGCGCTACAACGGTGCAGCTCACGACCAAGGAGGGCGGCCAGCACAATTCCCAAATCCAAGGCGCAGCCCTTGATCGCGGAAAACCGTCGCCACGCCGGCCGCGTGCTGGGACGACGGCGACGGAACGCAGCTCCGACGATGAGCGCGCTGTTGCGACGTTGGCCTGGAGTCCAGAACAACTTCTTGCTGGACAGCGGGGCGGCTTCACAACGGCAGCCTCCGTGATCGATTTGCGCACGCCGCTGACGATGCCGAGTTCCTTGATCCTCAGGAGGTTTGTGAAGCCACTTTCGCCGCGGAGTTCGGATGGGGCGCCCGCGAGGGTACTCGTCCTATTCGGGTATGCGGTGTAGTCGGATCTATTGGTTGTTTTGCGGTCATTGCGGGTGGGTTTGCTGCCGCCGCCGTTGCGACCTGCCAAATTCGGATTGTTTCGCTTGGGTTGCTCGGTGCAGCCTTCGGCCCGGGGGGCGCGGCAAACCAAATTCTGGGCACCAAACCCTCGATGATGGCATGGCCTGGCGATTGGGCTCCCAGGCCATTCTCGCCAGTCACGATGCCGTCGCGCTGGAGGCCGCCGCTAGCATCCGAAATCTCGAGCCGTTCAAGCGTGAGCAGCGGAGGCTGCCGATGCAGGGCGACGCTCTGGCCGCGGCGCTGGTTGGCGAGTGCGTGGGGCCGCCGATCACTCCGCTTTTGGCAAAACCTTTTTTTTCCACGCTTCCCCTCACCTCGTCCTTCTTGTCCTTGCTCATTGTATCCTAGTTCCTCCTTTCCCGCTTCTTTTTTTCATTCATCCTTTGTCTTAATATTAATATTTCGTTTGCTTTCCGTCATCGTACCCCTTCTCTTTTGTCCGCCCCAGCTCGTGCCGGCTGTGCCTCGCTGGTTCAGACCTGCGACGCTTTGGGGTGGGTGTCTTCTGGGAAAGGCCGAGTGCTTCGGGCCCGGGCCAAGGTGGCGGCCTTGCAGGAACATGATCCGACGTCACTGGACGTCTAGCAAGCCCTGCCTGGGCCCTCCGATCGGGGTGGGCAAGTCCCGAGGCGCCCGCGGCCGAAGCCTGCTGGGGCATCAGGTCGTTGCTATGTTCCCGCGGTCGTGGCTTGGTTTGCACTGCCCACCGTCCGTTGATGATGAGCACCGGCGCAGCAAAAAAAAGAGCCGTTCTTCACATCCTTGGTGGCGTGGAAATGGAAGTCTTCTCCTTATGCCTCCAGGATAGCAGACAGCCGGGCGCGCCAAGCCCTTCCATCTAACCGGCTTTGGAAGTGCTTATAGATTTGCCTGGCTTGTTGGTTGTGATTTCTTGGGCTGCTTGCGCAATCCATGTTCGGCGGTCAAGTTGAGGGGCATGTTCTGGTTCTTGGAGTTCGAGTGGCTTGTGCGAGTGCGTTGGGTTTGAAGCCTGGCGACTTGTTCGGGCGGGGCCGGGGGCTTGGTTTTGCTGTTCCGGGGGTCGTGATGGCTGGTGGTTCGGATCCTAGTCCGCGCCCGCCTGTGCAAATCAGGCTGCTCCCCCCGTAGTGGCCGGCCGCAATCGATGATCCTCGGGGGCCGCCCGTGATCCTTGTGTCGAGGATGGTGGTCCGCGGGTGGGGCCTCCTGGCGCGTCTTTCCTTGTTTGTTCCCTGCGAGAAGGCATTGCTGCTGTGCGCTCGGGAGAACGGGTGCGTGCTCAGGAGGTTCTTGATGATTGTCATCGTGAATGGGCCAATTTGGCTTCGGTTGGGCTGGATCGAGAAGCTGGCGCCGAGTTGCTGAGGATGGCGAGGCGCGGCGTGGAAGTTCAGATTTCGGCATGAACGAAATTGGTACGGAAAGAATGGGTACAATGCCCAACATCAGTTCTTTTTTATTTTGAACCGGACTCGCTGTCCGCGCCGCCGCGGCCTGTGTCCACTTGAGACAGAGGGCCGCCTGCCCAACGGCGGCCGCTGTTGGTTTTGGACAACATTTGTTGTTGGCCATTGTGCCCATTTTTTCCGTACCCACTTCGGGCGTCCAAGAGATCGTTCGGCGTTTCCAGCTGCAGAGGGTGATCTTCGTCACCAGCCTCGAACTTATCCCTATCCCTAAGATTGACACGCCAAAAGGCGATGACAGTCTTAGGGATGCGCCCTGAAAAACTAAGGGAATCCCTAAGATTGGCGCTCCTCGTCGACCCGGGCTTTCGCTTTCCGTTCGCTGCGGCGTCGCTTCCGGACCTCCGCGCGCCCCGTCGGCGGCGCGCAGCGGCCTGCCGCCGCAGATGCTTCCAGTGCTGCTCCCGCGGCTCCCGCCAGCGCCCCTGCTGCCCAGTGCCCTCCTCCTCCTCCCCCTCCTCCTCCTCCTCCTCCTCCTCCTCCTCCTCCTCCTCCTCCTCCCCCTCCTCTTCCTCCTCCTCCTCCTCCTCCGCCTCCTCCCCCTCCTCTTCCTCCTCCTCCTCCTTCTCCTCCTCCTCCTCCTGCCGTGGCCGCTCTCCGCCCTCTGCGAGTGGCGGCTGCGGACGGTGGCGGCCCCCTCGAGCAGAAGCCTCGGGGCCATCTCGGCGCTGCGCTCTCGGGTGCCAGGGCCTCGGGCCAGGCCTCCCAGAAGCCTCGGTTTTCCCCGGGCTTTGACGAAGGGCCCGGGCGGGCCCTTTCTCGTCGCCGGGGGTCCGACGCCTGCATTTCCCGCTGCTGCCTTGGGGCGGCCGTCGGTAGATGTGGCAGTGGCCGCCGCGACCTGTCGGCAACTCCGAAGCGCTGTGGCGCGCCGGCGCTGGCCCGCCCGCCCCCGTCGTTCGCCCGCCCCCGTTCTCTGCCGCTGGGATCCGACGCGTTAGTTCGAAGCGCGAGGTCTTCGCTGCCGTGGCCGCGGATTCTTCTCATTCTCGGCGTTCCCGGGCTTCCCGCGGGCAGCCTGGAGCGACTCGCGCTCTTGATGCAGATGGCTGACATTTCGTCGTTGGTCCCCTCCCGCGCCCACGTGGGCATTTCCGCGTTATCCCCGACGCTTTGCCCAGGATTCGGCCTGGTGGTGTTTTCGGGGGGCTTGGCCGTGCTTGGGTTAAGTCGGGCCTGTCTCTCTACAGGGGGAATATCCAAAAATAGTCAAAAATAGTCTGGGGAGTATTTCGTAAGTATTTTGCGACCATGTTGGAGTATTTTTGAGCATCGTCTATTCTTCGTCGAAGCTCTCCCTGTAGGGGGACACGCCCGACTTGAAGCCTGGCCGTGCCCTGGGCCCAGGCGAGGGGGGCCCCGTGCTCCGGCCTGCGGGCGGAGGAGGGAGGCCTGCCGACCTCGGCCCGCGGCTCGGCGCTTCGGTGGGGGGCCCCCGGGCGCTGTCTCTGGAGGCAGGCCGCGCCTAGAGACGAGCGGGGGCTGGAGGAGAGGGGGGAGGTCCTGAGGTGCGAATTTTTGGAGGCTGGTGGCCCCGCGTCCACCGCCACTGGGGAGTCGAGTGAACTACAGGGCGTGCCCTTCCCCGAGGCCGGCCGTGCTCCTGGAAGAGGTGCCGTTCGCGCTCCCCGTGGGGCGCCCGGAGGTGCGGCGAGTCCACCCCGCCAGGCGGGGTGCCCAGGCGTCGCGCGGGGCGCGGCCTCCTGGTGGCCACCGCCGGGCTCTCCGCGCCGCGGCCCGCAGCGGGGCTCGGCGTGCCGCTCTTGGGTGGCTGTCTTTCTCGTTTTTTTTTGTTATTCTTCTTCCCCCCCCCTCTCTTTCTTCTTCCGCGTCCAGCGGCGCCATCGTGGTCTGCTCTTTGGCGACGGCGTTTGGCCAGTGCCAGCCGCCTGGATGTCCTCGACAGGCTGGAGTGGCCTGCGTGTCACGCGCATGCCCGTTGAGGGCGGCAGTGCTGTGCGCGCCACTGGGTTTGAGCAGGAAGTTGTCCGCGCACTGGCCAGTGCTGCGCGGCGGTTGTTCAGCGGCCATCGGCGGGAGGAGGGCTCTCTTTGCCCGAGACGGACGGCGCGCCGGCCACTCTGCGCGCTCCCTTCTGGGTGAGGCCCTTGCGGGGCCCCCGGCCTCCTCGGCCCCCGGCCCCAGAGCAGACGGCGCGGCGGGGCGCCCCCCCCGGGCGCCCTGGGCAGAAACTCCAAGGCCAAGGCTTGGTTTCGCCTGTGCTAAGAGTGAATTCAGCGTGGATTTGCGTCTTCGTTTTCCATTGTTATTTTCTTTTTTTCTGATATTCGCCGCCTTGAACCTTGAACCGCCCCGCCTTGAAGGCGGGGCAGGTTCAGGCGAGGAGGGGCGCTGCTCGCGCGGGGAAGCGCGCTCGCGCGGGCCAGGGCGCGGGGGTCGAGGGGTTGCTGTGTGCTCGGTAGCCCTGCCTGCCGCGGCCCGTGGCGCTGGCGGCAGGGGATTCCGGCGGGGAGCTTTCTGCCCTGCGCAGCTCTCCTGTGATTGTTACGTCGGGCCTGTCCGTCTACAGGAGGAACATTCGAAACTAGTAAACGATAGCCTGGGGACGATTTTCTGATTAGTTTTTGGGCATGTTTTAGAATTATATTTGGATGATTTCATATGTTTCGTCCACGATCTGCCTGCAGGGGGACACGCCCGATCTAGTGTTAATGCGATCAAGCCGTCGGCTGCGATCGCGCCCGCCCTGTCGGGCGGGCGCGGCCTCCCCAGCTGGCTCCCATCTGTAGGTGGCTGAGCTTCTCTGCTTCGGGCCCCGTGACAGCAGCTGCAGCGGCGAGGGCAGAGTCTGCGCCTGCCTAATCAGGCTGGCGCCAGCCTGGCTTCTCGGCGACATCGGCCAGCCATCTAATCATGGAATTGGGCTCGCACCCAGCCCCAGGCTTGAGCGGAACGGCGTTTTGCAACTGGCAGGAGTCGTAGCGACAGCTAAACAGCGCCTGCACTGTGTACCTTCGGTCCCACTGGCCAGGGGCACAGTGTCGTGGGCAACAAGGACACGAACGGGTGGTCCCTGCTGGGGCTTGGGGCAGGACAGACCCTCCCCGGGCGCAGGCTGCGCTGCTTGGGATTGGCACTGATAGTCTGAATCGCTCGCGAGAGAAACGGACATGGCAGCTTGTAGTCTTTGATTGTGTCCTGAGGGGCAGCCGCTGCGACGTCAGCCTCCGCCGCGTCCTGGGGACCTAGCTTTATGTCGGGCGTGTCCCCCTACAGGGGGATTTTCGACGGAAAATTAAAATACCCCAACAATAGTCAAACAATAGTCCAAAAGTAGTCGGGGGATTATTTTTGGAGTATCTTTTGACCTTTTTGGGGCACTTTTTTTTTTTTTTTTTTTTTTTTTTTTTTTTCGTCGAAAATCCCCCTGTAGGGGGACACGCCCGACCTAAGCGCAGTGGTCCATCGGAAGTCAGGCTTCATGCTGCGACTGCTGCAGACGCGGGCAATCTTTCGTCAGATGGGCGCACGCGTGGCCAAACCGAGTGCTGGGTGCGGGCCCCGCGCTTTTGCCCCTCGTTCACACGAGACGGTGGGGTCACTGATGATGGCAGGGTCTCCATCGTCGGTGGGGGGCCCCAGCGGGAGGGCCTCAAGTCCAGCCTGGCCGTCGCTGCGGGGAACCGTCTGAAACTCACCTGGGGCACCTCCGACCTTGGCCTGGATCGGCAAGCCACCCAGAGGGGTGTCAACCCCGGTCCAACCGCATCTGATGGCCTCGGGGGCCGAGCTGGGCAGGCCAGAACTGGCCGTGAGTCTGGACTGGCCCCAGGGGCCCTCCACAAGGCCCTGGGGCGCGCACGGGCGGCCGTTCCAGCAGGGGGGAGGCGGGGGGGCGGGGAGGAAAGGGGCGGCCGTGGAGGAGGGGGGCCGCCCTGTCGATCCAGGGATGCCCCCCCCCTTTTTTCCCGCAGGGGCCGCCTGTGCGCCTGCGCGGCCTCAGGAAGGCCCAGGCAGCCGCCGTCCTCCTCGCCTTGTGCGAGGGCTGCGTGGCGGCCGTAGACCTGAGGACCAGGCGTGGCCTGGTGGCGCCTGGCAGGGAGGTGCACGCCGCAGGCTGGCGCGGCCCGGCCTCGCGCTTCCTCCCCCGGGGGCCACGGCCCTCCCGACCAGAGGGGCCGCCAGAGGGCCCCCTGGAGAGCCTCGGCGAGCGCCAGCCGGGAGGGGCGGGATCGCTGGGGCGCATCGCTCGAGGCCGGGAACTCTCCCTGCCGAAGGCCTCTGGCCAGTGAGGATTGGGCCTGCGCCCAAGCCAGCGCTCGGCTCCGTCCCTCGCGAGACGTCTCACCTCGGGGGGGGGGGGGATAAGCAAGCGGAGAGATGTGCTCGCCAGTGTCAGTGGTGAGCGTGTGTGATGTGACCATGTTCCACCCGATTCGATTCAAAGACGAAATGACAGCCGAGATCGGTCCGAAGCACTTCCTCCAAGTACCCCGGGGGCCCAGCCGCTCCATGATTGTGTCCACGCAGCCGTGAACAAACTGGGGGAGGTCCTTGCATCCCAAACCCAACATCTGGCGGCTAGCGGCCAAGTGGCTTCAAACGTGGAATCATACATGATGTCTTTCTCTGCGTGCACGTGTAAAGCGAAGCCAGACCTTGTTTGGTCCCTACAAGTTCTCCCGAGAAGGATCAGATCTTTGAACCCAACAACACCAGCACCGCGGCCCGCGGACGGATGGACCCCAGTGCGCCACAAAACTCGCGCCTTCAAGCCACTGGCCCTCCTGAGGTCCTTGCGATTACCCCTTCTGCCCAACGCGATCCCAAGACGCTTATGTTCAATGGTTGAGTGTGCACCTCTTCCAGCAAACGTGTCGTGGCTTGAACTACGAGCGCTCTGAAACGGCTTAAGCTTGAGCTAGCAGGCCCTCGCCTTCGCGGAACTCGCCGCTCTGGCAGATGACGCCAAGTCGCAGATTTGTAAGTTTGGATGAAGAGCCTAAACATGCGGGTGTATCATTGGCGAAAGCCACGGAGGAGCTAGGAGGATGGAGGCGGATGATGATGATGATGATGATGATGATGATGATGATGATGATGATGATGATGATGATGATGATGATGATGATGATGATGATGATGATGCTGCTGCTGCTGCTGCTGCTGCTGCTGCTGCTGATGATGATGATGATGATGATGATGATGATGATGATGATGATGATGATGATGATGATGATGATGATGATGATGATGATGATGATGATGATGATGATGATGATGATGATGATGATGATGATGATGATGATGATGATGATGATGATGATGATGATGATGATGATGATGATGATGATGATGATGATGATGATGATGATGATGATGATGATGAGGAGGAGGAGGAGGAGGAGGAGGAGGAGGAGGAGGAGGAGGAGGAGGAGGAGGAGGCGTCTCGATGGCTTCTTGTGGCAGTCTTGGGGCCAAGAGGGGTCGTGACAAGACGCCTCTTCAAGAGGTCTCTTGGTGCCTCTCGGGAGGTGTCTTGGAGCCCTCCTGGCGGCATTGTCGAGACCTCGTGGGGCTTCGAGGAAGGTTTTCGAGTCACCAGGGGCCTGACGGGGGCCCTCCCTCGGGCCTCAGGAACCCCCCCCCCTGCGGGAGGTTTCTTGGGCCGTCTTTTGGGGCCCTCTTGGGCAATCATGTGGCCGTCCAGGGAGACTCCTGGGCTGATTTGTGGCGATATTGGTGGCCTCTTGAAGACTTCCTGCGTCAGTGTAGGGCGCTCTTGGCTCTTGGGCCGTCTGGGGGCCTTCTTGACTGCCTTTTTGGGTCATTTTGAGCGGACGGACGCCCGACAAGGCAAGAATTTGAGAATTGATGACGAACCTAGCCTCAGTTTGTTTCATGATCATTGGGATGCTCCCTCTCTCTACCGTCACCGTTCAATTTAAGTCATTTTGCGCACATGTGCACGTCATTGACACCGATGCGAAGGTCATCATCAGTTGCGCTATGCCCAGACATTCCCGTGTTGGCGATGGTCTTCGAACGGGCTCGGGTCACGTGCTTGCGGCGTGTTGGAGAGGACGCTGGTAGCTCATGGAAGGGCGAGGGTACGTGTCCTTACCGCCTGGATGCAGAACATTGGGCCCATGTTTCCCCCGAGCTCAGCACATCATTCACACTCGGCTTGACCGCCACATGTCTGGTAAAGCTGGATTTCAGTGGTCTCGCCCTCAGAGTGCGCGCTGAAGGGAATCATTCAATTCATGTCTTCGTAGAGGGCTCACGCTTGGCTCAAGGTATTTTTGGCTCAAGCCATTTTGGCTCGAAACCTCTGCTGGACCAAGGGCTCGGGGATGCAATGGGCGGCCGCTTGGTGGTCTTGGTCTTGAGCAGCTATGCAGCATGCGTGTACTGCAGCGCGGGCAGCAGCAACATCGGGCAGGGGCAAGCCACCTACACCGACATCGATCGATTTGTAGCCGATCCTGGGCCAAGGCAGCTACTCGACAAGAGCGACGCTGCGCGGACAGCTGCATTCACTATCGTTCAGGGCGAGAAAGGATGCGCTGAGTTTCCCGGCTTTCTCTGGTATTTCGCCAACAGCACCACCGAGACACCGCTGCGGTCTCTGGACGTGTACGCCTTAGACACGACGGGGCTGGAGTGCGTGACGAATCTGACCAACTCACACCCGGGCTACATCAGGCGTGTGGTGAACTTGTCGTCGGCAGACAAGCAAGTCAGGGCCAAGTTTAGGCCTGAAGCACGTGGCGGTAGCACCGCCAGCAGTGTGCGTCCCCGGCGGTTGTGGCCCTCCAGGATCTACCAGTACATCATTTGGGTTGTGTACGAGGAGCTGCTGGCCGAGGGGGTGCACGTCATCCACTTTGACACTGACGTCATCATTCTCGGGGACCTCTGGACGAATCTCGTCACGCCCTTGCGCGCGGGGTACGACATCATCACGACCTGCGACAACTTTGGCCCCGGGAGTGAAAGAAGTGATAAGCTGTACAACATAATCAACCGATCGGGTTATGCGAGAGGCTGCGCTTTCAATCCAGCGGTCCAGTTCATGAGAAATTGCGAATCAGTTCGAGCGTTCCTGTCTTGGATGATGGAGAATTGGGACAGTCAGTGGATAGATGCTACGACTCACCAGGTCGGCAATAAATTCAAAAAGGCAGACAGCCACCTAATCTCTGACATGTTCCAGCAGAACATATATTTCCGCAACTGTTATAGGAAGCCGCTAGACAGAGCGGCACCGAGGGAAGATAAACAGATTTACACGTCGCTGATACGAGGCCAGAATGGATGGAAGTGCAACAACGCCACGCTCTTCAGGCCAGACACGTATCTGACCACGTGGAGCGCAGGCTACTTGCGACACGGGCGTCCGAACGACTGTGGGAACGACGAGCACGGATACGCTGACGCTTGCCGGCGCATGGGCATCTTCATTTACCACCACCACGCGCGCGGCCTTTATGGCCTGGCCAGGGAGGGCCTTAGCCAGCCCTGGCCGCCCATCGCCCGGCCGGCGCCCGCAGCCGCAGAGGCGGCCTCGGCCCCCGCAGGCGCGCCCCCGGCCGCCCGCCCCACGGCTCCGGCCGCCGGGGCGCAGGCCGCCTCCCGCGCGGAGCCGCGGCTGGGCGCGGGCGGCGCCGGCGGGGCCGGGGGCGCCGCGCGCGCCGCCGCCGTCGCTGCGGGGGGCCTCGAGGCCGCGGCTCCTGCCGCGGCCCGCCTCTGCGCCGGCCGCGCCCTCCCCGCCCTCGCCCTCTATGCCCTCCTCCTCCCGTTCCTGTGGAGGAGCGTGGTCCGCGGGGACCGCGCGAAGCTGGCGCCCAGGGGCGGGCACGGGCCGGCAATCCCGGGGGCCAGCGACGACGATCTATAGTTGGGTGGAGCCGTACGGACGTAGTGCAACAGCTACGGACATAGTGCAACAGCTACGGACATGTCGGGGGCCACGATGGGGGGGGATTAGGCAGAAAGGGGGGGATGCATCAATCGCCCGTGGATCGCCGGTACGGGCCCGATTGCCCCGCCCCGCCCAGGAAGGTGCGGATTCACTATCGGGGGCCTGTCGCCGATCTATCGACGATCTATCGCCGATTCCAGGTCGATGCATCCCTCCTGTGCCTATTCCCCCCGATCGTTGCCCCTCAACATGACATAAAAAAAACGCCATAAACATCAACTTTTGGTGCTCCGTGCGGATTTCTTGGATCCGCGCTGGGCCGCCCCGCCTCTGGCGCGCTCCGCGCGCCAGGGAGAGGGTTTGGCGCAGATCCACGGATTCCGCGCGGAGCGCCAACAGTTTACGTTTATGTTGTTTTTATTTTTTCTTTTCATGGATCAAGCAGCACTCCTGTTGTTGAGAGGACGTGTGCAGCAGGTTCACTCCGCTTCTTCGCCGGCTCTAGAAGGACCTCGGCTTCCTGTGATCCCCTTTCGAGTCCATAGATGCTCACTTGATTACGGTAGGTCTGTGTCGTGTCGACTTTCGGCGACCCGGGCGCGCGACTTCAAGGTTGAATTCCGCGGTGCGCGAGCGCATTAACGTTTGAATGATCGGCGGTGTCTCCTCCGTCCCCTTTCTCTCTCCCTTCTCTCCTCCTTCTGCCCCCAGAACGTTTACCTTTGAACGATCCTGTCGTCCCCTTCGGTATCCCTTGTTCTCTCCCTTCTCCCTACGATGACGAAGGCCAGGGCCTTCGGGGAAGAAAGTAACGTGCGTTGATTCACACATACTCTGCAAAAACACGCTGCTTTGGGCCCACGCTCGCTAACATATGTAATTTCTCTTGTGCGTGAAATCTCTTGGGCCCGTTCTTCCACCCATGTCCAGCCGCATTCGTTGTTCATGTGCGGCCCCGCCGCCACATTCGTTATTCAAGTGTGGTCCCACAGCGCTGGGGGACGGGGGTTGGCTGCCCGCGGACGCGTGGATCCTCTTGGACCATGGTCCCATTAGATGCCTTGGTTGTGGGTCGGAGACCTCTCGGATGCTTGGGTTGTGTGTCAGGGTCGTCAGGCTCGCCACCGTGCCTGGGTTGTGGGTCAGAGACACCTCGGATGCTTGGGTTGTGCGTCAGGGACCTCGGGCTCGCCACCGTGCCTGGGCTGCCGGACAGAGACCTCTCGGATGCCTGGGTTGTGCGTTAGGGACCACAGGCTCGCCACCGCGCCTGGGTTGTGGGTCAGAGACATCTCGGATGTCTGGGTTGTGCGTTAGGGACATCCGGCTCGCCACCGTGCGTGCCTGGGTTGTGGGCCAGAGACATCTCGGATGCTTGGGGTGCGCGTTTGGGGCGTCAGGCTCGCCACCGTGCTTGGGTTGTGGGTCGGATGCATTTCGGATGCTTGGGTGGCGAGTTAGGGATCTCAGGCTCGCCACCATGCCTCGGTTGTGGGTCAAAGACATCTCGGATGCCTGGGTTGCACGTCAGGGACCTCAGGGTCGACACCGTGCCTGGGTTGTGGGTCAGAGACATATCGGATGCCTGGGTTGTTCGTCAGGGACTTAATGACATAACAAATGACAAAAAAAATAAACACAAGTGCCTGGGTTGTGGTTCTGAGACTTCTCGGGTGCCAAGGTTGTGCGTTAGGGACCTCTGGCTCGCCACCGTGCTTGGGTTGTGTGCTAGAGACATACCGGATGCCTGTTTTGTGCGTCAGGGACTTAATGACATAACACATGACAACAACAAATATCCAAAAACACATGGAAACACAAGTGCCTGGGTTGTGGTTATGAGAATTATCGGATGCCTGGGTTGTGCGTCGCGGACCTCAGGGTTGCCGCCGTGCTTGGGTTGTGTGTCAGAGACATCTCGGATGCCCGGGTTGTGCGTCAGGGACCCAATGACATAACACTGACGACAAAATAGCGCCCAAAAAATATGAAAACACAAGTGCTTGGGATGTGGTTATGACACTTCTCGGACGCCTGGGTTGTGCGTTAGGGACCTCAGGCTCGCCACCGTGCCTGGGTGGCGTGTTAGGGACATCTCTGATGCCTGGGTTGTGCGTCAGGGAACTACATCTCGCGACGAGGACTGGGGCATCCTGGGGGTGGCGTGAGTGGCGGATCCTCGTGTGGTCCCAAGCGCCACCCCCCAGGAGCCCCAATGGCCTAAAGGCATAACAAAAACAACAAAACAAGAGCAACACAAAATATGGAAACACAAATGCCTGGGTTGTGGTTATGAGACTTATCGGATGCCTGGGCTGTGGGTCGTACACACTTCGGATGCCTGGGCTGTGGGTCATACACACTTCGGATGCCTGTGTTGTGGGTCAGACACACTTCGGACGCATGTCGTCTGAGGCTCGCCGCCTTGCCTGGGTTGTGTGTCATGGACACTTCGGATGCCTGTGTTGCGGGTCAGAGACCTGAGGCTTGGGTTGTGGGTCAGCGCCCTCAGGCAAGCCACCGGCCCCGGGGCCGACCCCTCGAGCACGTCGTCGTTGTGCCCGCGCAACGACGACTCGAACTTCCTCGTTGCGACACTGCCAGAGCACTGACCGCCGCCATGAACACCAGAACCGTCATCACCATCGCCATCATCATAAGCATTGCCATCATCATTCTCGCCGTCGCGGCTCAAGGGCCCGGCGGCCCCCGAGGAGGCGAGCAGCAGAGCGCCAGCCTCGGGCCGGGCGAAAGGGTGGGATTGGGAAAGGGGGGGTTACGAAATTTGCTGCATGCAGCTGGTTTCGGCCTCACCGAGGGGCCCATTCCTCGATACATAGCCGCCTCCGGCGCCGGGAGGCGCCGGGAAAATCAGCTACGTGAGCTGATTCTCAAACCCCCCCTTTGCTATCCCCCCCTTTCGCCCGACCCGGGCTCCGCCGCCACGCCGCGTCGCCCCGCAGGCGCGAGCACCGGCCTCCTCCAGCGGAATGGGTGATCCGTGGCTCGTTTCCGACGAGGAGCTGGACGCGGAGGGGCCGGCACTGCTGGGCGGGGCCCAAGAAGCGGAGCAGGCGGCGCTGCAGGACTTGGAACGGCAGGCGCTGACGGATGCAGCCGATGACCACCCGGGCGAGGAGCAGCCGCCAGAGGCACCGGCGCCGGCGCTTGTCTCAGCGATGGCAGCGAGCGCCGGCGCTCCCTCTCGCGGCGGCCGCCAGCGCGGAGTCGCCAAGAAGCACTTGAAGAAGGCAGCGCCGAAGCCGCGCGGCCGGACGCTCAAGCGGTGGGGCTCAAGCGGTGGGGTTCCGGCGGGAGTGCAGGTGGTGAGTCGCTTGGCCGTGTGGGGCGGGGCAGTCTTCGTCGCCAAGCCTGCTGCCATCCAGAACATGTGAAGTGCGTGGAGAGACATTCGCTACATAGACATATGTCTCACACTTTGATTGTGCGCGATTTGCTACATACGTACCGTGCCAGGTGCGCGACCCGTGCGCCGACCGCTCTGTGTCGTCAGCCGCACACTGGGCACTCAGCTGTCCGGCAGGGCAGACGGCCGAACAAAAAAAAAAAAAAAATCCAAAACAGAAGAAGTGCCAACGCCAACAGAACCAAAAAAAAATGTAAACATAATTGCCTGGGTTGTGGATCAGGGACCAGGAGGGGCCACGAGGGGCCAGGGCCCCTGAGACCAGGAGGGACCAGGAGGGACCAGGACGGACCAGGACGGACCAGGAGGGACCAGGAGAGACCAGGATGGACCAGGAGGGGCCAGGAGGAACTAGGAGGGACCAGGAGGGGCGAGGAGGGACCGGGAGGGACCTGGAGGGACCAGGAGGGACCAGGACCCCTGAGCCCAGGAGGGACCAGGAGGGACCAGGCGGGACCAGGAGGGACCAGGAGGGACCAGGAGAGACCAGGAGGGACCAGGAGGGACCAGGAGGGACTAGGAGGGACCAGGAGGGACCAGGAGAGACCAGGAGGGACCAGGACCCCTGAGCCCAGGAGGGACCAGGAGGGACCAAGAGAGACCAGGAGGAACCAGGAGGGACCAGGAGGCACCAGGACCCCTGAGCCCAGGAGGGATTAGACCGCAAACCGGCTTGGGTTGTGGGTCGGAGGCATTTCGGATGCTTGGGCGGCGAGTTCGGGATCTCAGGCTCGCCACCATGCCTCGGTTGTGGGTCAGAGACATCTCGGATGCCTGGGTTGCACGTCAGGGACCTCAGGGTCGACACCGTGCCTGGGTTGTGGGTCAGAGACATATCGGATGCCTGGGTTGATCGCCAGGGACTTAATGACATAACACATGACAACAACGAAGAACAAAACATATATAAACACAAGTGCCTGGGTTGTGGTTCTGGGATATCTCGGATGCCAGGGTTGTGCGTTAGGGACCTCTGGCTCGCCACCGTGCTTGGGTTGTGTGTTGCCGACATACCGGATGCCTTTGTTGTGCCTCAGGGACTTAATGACATTACACATGAAAACAACAAATATCACAAAAGACATGGAAACACAAGTGCCTGGGTTGTGGTTCTGAGAATTCTCGGATGCCTGGGTTGTGCGTCGCAGACCTCAGGCTTGCCGCCGTGCCTGGGTTGTGTGTCAGAGACATCTCGGGCGCCCAGGTTGTGCGTCAGGGACCTAATGACATAACAACGACGACAAAATAGCGCCCCAAAAATATGAAAACACAAATGCTTTGGTTGTGGTTATGACACTTCTCGGACGCCGGGGTTGTGCGTTAGGGACCTCAGGCTCGCCACCGTGCCTGGGTGGCGTGTGAGGGGCCCCCTTGATGCCTGGGTTGTGCGTCAGGGAACTGCAGCTCGCGACGAGGACTGGGGCATCCTGGGGGTGGCGTGAGTGGTGGATCCTCGTGTGGCCCCAAGCGCCACACCCCAGGAGCCCCAATGGCCTAAAGGCATAACAAACAACAACAACAAAAAGAGCAACACAAAATATGAAAACACAAGTGCCTGGGTTGTGGTTATGAGACGTATCGGATGCCTGGGCTGTGGGTCATACACACTTCGGATGCCTGGGTTGTGCGTCACGGACCTGAGGCTTGCCGCCGTGCCTGGGTCGCGTGTCAGAGACACCTCGGATGCCCAGGTTGTGCGTCAGGGACCTACTCACATAATAACGATGGCAAAATAGCGCCAAAAAAAAAAAAGGAAAACACAGGTGCTTTGGTTGTGGTTATGACACTTCTCGGACGCCTGGGTTGTGCGTTAGGGACCTCAGGCTCGCCACCGTGCCTGGGTGGCGTGTGAGGGACACCCTTGATGCCTGGGTTGTGCGTCGGGGAACCACATCTCGCGACGAGGACTGGGGCATCCTGGGGGTGGCGTAAGTGGCGGATCCTCGTGTGGTCCCAAGCGCCACCCCCCAGGAGTCCCAATGGCCTAAAGGCATAACAAGCAACAAAAAAAAAAGCACCACAACATATGGAAACACAAGTGCCTGGGTTGTGGTTGTGAGACGTATCGGATGCCTGGGCTGTGGGTCATACACACTTCGGATGCCTGGGTTGCGCGTCACG